GTCGATCTATCGAATTATCGAAATAACTTAAGTTGAACAACTCCTAGAACTAATGCATGTTGACCAGTCCATTCGTTGTCCTTCCAGGTATTCACTCTTTAATACCAATAATTATTGTCCATAAATCATCTTTCGAGTCATCGTTGAATGGATCTTCCAATGGTCTTTAATTCATTTCCACGCTTCAACGATATCATGAAATGCTGACGTACTTGATTCTTTTGTTCATAACCCATAATAATTGTACACTATGTAAACTCATCAGAGTTTCCAGACTTATCCAAATCACTTACTTAATCCTCAGTCATTGAGGTTACTTAGTTCATTTAGTAGTCAAATCCATTCCAGTTCCTTCGGAGTTTTCTAGAGTAATTCGGACGTTTCTGAATTTCGGATACATGTTATACTTTCGTTCAGTTCACTTCGGTCTTCGTGGTTGATTTGTTGAACAAATATCCAACTTTTAGTACTGAATGTGATCTAGAGTTTAGTTGAGCTGAATACTTCCAAAATTATCATCGAGCCAAACTTGAGTAGGTGAACACGCATTCAAGTAATATATATACAGTTCAGGTACTGACATATCATTAAGGCTGATCAACTCACTTAAGTTGTGTTCCAGAACTTTTAAGGGTAGTACAACACCCATATTTACTTGGATTCCTTAATTAATCCAAAACATCTACTTAGTCTAGGCCATAAGGGTATTTTGGTCATTTTAGTGTTCAGTTTTATTCCATTAATTTCAGAGCTAGAGGATATCTAATCATTCTTGAGCTTGGTGATATTCTTGGGTCATTTCTATTCCAGGGTTATTTTGGTCATTTTACAGATCTAGTGTATTACAATCATTTTCTTCCGTCCGATCTTATTATCGAATTTAAACTTATCATTTCTTTCAGTCATTTCAAACAATTCTATCAAAAGAGCACCATCGATAAATTATTCTTCATGTATTTACTCATAACTCGGAGATTTACGAATTATCATGAATTTTCTGTATAAATGTATAATTTAACGATGAAACTAGTAATTCATCCATTCAGGTATGACTTCTAGAATACTTTTTCATTCAGGGTCAATTCGGGCTTGTTTTCCCTCTCAGTGGTAATTTCATAATTTCTTAACCATATAATTTCGGTATTAAAACTCTTAACAAAGATAATTATAATTTAGAGATTCTAGGGTTTACCTCTTTTCCGGATATTCTTTAAACTTTAAAATATTCCTTATCAAACTTCTCGTATCTTGTATAAGCCATCTTGCATTTAGAAATCAGTTATCCAGATTTTCTAAGCAAAACTAGCATTTTCTATGCACATCTGTAGTTTCATCATATCAATATGTCTTTACAAAGTTCTTATCCAACTTCTAGGGTAAATTCTTGTCTTTTTACAACATAAGGGTAATTTCGTAATTTTACTAATCGAAGTATTATCATAATTTATCATCCAAGTACCTTTAATGAGATAAATTATAATTTACATATTCATGACTGATTCCTTTATCACTTAATCACAGGACTTGTAATTCCATAGAATCTTAACTAATTTATCACTTAAACCGTATTCGGTTTGAATCCATCCATAATCAAACAGGCATAATAGACTAATCATATACATTCATGCATTTATCAATTATCAACATGTTTCATAAAGCATAAAGAGGTAGTAATGTATTACCTCGATTTTCGTGCCATACTGATCGACCATTTAAATTCCATTTGAATGCCCTTGATCTTGAAATTATCTTCCAATAAATCCTCAAATACATAACAATACAAATTTCTTAAAAAACGGAGCTTAATTGTAAATAACGGATCGAATCAAACTCAGGACATCAAAAAGCATAAAATATGATTTTTCGAAATTTTTGACTTTTTGGTCAAAGTCAACGGTCAACAGGTTGGCTCGGTCAAAGTCAACGGTCAACAGCTAACATGTTGACTCGGTCAAAGTCAACGGGTTGACCCAGTGAGTTAACTCAGTCGAGTTAACTCAGTGCAGGTTGACTCAGTCGGCTTGGCTTGGCTCAGCGGCTCGGCTTAACTGTTCACCAAGCTGCCAGACAAAACCCACTCTTAGGGGGTGGCACGTGGGGCGCATGAACAGTGTTAAGGTGTCCGAAAAATTCTCGAAAATTTTCTAAAAATTATTTTAAGTCATTTTAAGACACTTTCCAAGCTCGGTTCACATTTTTGAACGGTAGAGAGTTCAATTCTGAAACGTTGGAAACTCTGACTTTCTCACCCCTACACGCGTCGGCGATGACGGAGACACGAAGGACATCGGTGGACTCGGAACGATGCAAGGAACACGATGGTGTGAGAGGTGTCGAAAACGGATGGTCGGATTTACGTGAATCGACGGAAAACCAACGGAAATTGAGTTAAAATCGACGATACTTCCGATTGAAATTAACGATGAACGACATCGATTCACGACGAGAGGTTTGGGGGTTTTGTTCATCTTTCGACAACGAACACAATGGTGGTTTTGGTTTATCGAACGGTGGTCGTACAGTGAGTAGATCGGAGTTTAAAATCGTTGACCGGGGAGAGGAAAAATGAAAAATTTTCTGCTGAACATACGAGGTAGAGGTTTATAATTCTCTCCAAAAGAAAAATGGGCAAATCATGAGTTTAGTCACTGAATTTCCTGCACTTTATAAAATGGTATTCTAACTTTGAAATTTTACAATTTAATTCTCAATTTCTTCCAAAATACCAATTAAATCCACCACTTTATAATTCTAAAATTTAACCCCTAAATTGGGGTGTTACACCTCTTCCACAATTTCACCAGCCTTGACATACGAGTTTCGAACTCTAGCAGTAAGACCAGTTCCTAGATAAGCATAAAGGCCACCTATGACGGCAATCAGAGGGACAATTGCCAGTGTTACCAAACTGATTTGCCATACCCTAGCAAAACCAATTCTGAAACCCGCTATAAACCTGCTTATGTAAAGCATGAAATTGCCCACCTGACATCATTCCTCACGTTGTCATCCATCATGAGACTGAGAAACAAGACTAAAGAAGAAAAGAAGGGATGAAAATGAATTACCTTCTCGGAAAGAGCTTCCTGGACGACAATAATATCACTTGTGATTGCAGAAATGACTGCTCCGGTTGAAGCTTCAGTGTCGAATAAACTTATATCTTGATTCAGCATACTCTTCAGATATGCCATCCTCATTTTCGCTGCCTGTCGCTCTCCAGTATGCATACAACAAGCCACCTCTATATCTACATATATAAACATCATCAAATATATAATTAATGATGTTTTCACGTGAGCTGGGAGAGACATTTTCACTAACCTATCCATGAGGAAAACAACATAACCACACTGAGATATACAAAATCCAATGAGTACTGCCCAAAAAAGAACAGATAGTAAAAATCTTTAGTTTGTAAGTAGCAAATTTGCTTAAAATGATTGACCAAAACGTAAACAAGTTTTGTTTATTTACCTTTGCAACTTTGTGAAAAGCTTCTTTAGGGAAGAGATAAGCCATTCCGGCAACGTTAATCAATTTCCCAAAGAAGACGAAGAAAACCGGAACAGGTGCACCATGCACGCATGCACCGATGTAACCCAAAGCCATAAGAACATATTCGTGAAAGTCTGCAAATGAAAACAACTTCAACAACGGAACTTTGTGATGCTCCTTTTCTTCTTGTTTCTTGTTTGTATGATCACTGTCCTTGTTACTCGAAGGTTCCATTTTTACCCCAAATAAAAACGGAAACCAAAGAACAAAAGACAATTTGAAGAAAATGAATGAAAGGGAAGGTTTAGGAAGCGAAGATAAGTGATGGAGATGAGCCCTTTTATTGCAAATCTGTTCAGGTGATCATTTTCTCGGCAGTTGGAAGTAATGGTGAAATGATATGCAAAAAGCAAGCTTGAAAAATATTGATTAAAGTTAATTCTCTCGAGGATTGAGATACTCCAATGCCTGGTTTAGGATTGAGATATTCCAACTAAAGCCTGGTTGCTTTTGCCATAAAACAGAGAAATAAAGGAGAAATGCCAAGATTTTGAGGTAATCATTTAGTTGTAAGAGATGAGCAACATTGAAATATAAAACTATAAAATTTTGTTTGAGAAGAATTCATCATGAACAAATTTTCATTCCTTTTAAATATATAAGAAATCGACACTATCCCTCAAATAATTCAACATGAGAAAGATTATATTAGCATAAAGTTTACATGAATTTAATGCACTTATAACATATATTTTTAATTATCATGCACAAAATTCAAAAATTATTATATGAATTTAAAAAATCTAATTCTCATCCTCCAATTTTTTTATCCAATGGCAAATTCAATCCCTCCTGTTTTAAACTTCTCAAATTAAACTTTATTCTTCTTAAATTTTGAATTAAATATATAATAGATTTTAGAATTTTCAATTTTTAAAAATAATTTTATGGTTTTCAAACGAAAATAAACAGATATTTTTTCTTTAAAAAAAAATCTTTCCCGAAAGAATTCCATTTGGGAAAATTAATCCTACATCGGAAACTTTAATCTCAAAACAATGACCAGCAACAATGATGAACAACAATCCATGGCCAAAATTTTAACTAGATTTAAGGGTCAAACTAACATTCTATCTAAAATTTAGTGTAAATTAAAATTTTATCTAAAATTCTTTTACTAACATGTCACGTCAATAAAATAACGAGAACTAACGGTCTAATGACCAAAATAAGACAAACCAAAAACAAACAAAAGGATAGCCAAATTTTACATATAATAAAAAAATGAGAATAGCACAAGGATAAATAAGCCATTCTATTAATTGAGGGTCTTATTGTGGGGAGTGGAAGGATCTCTTTTTATTTGGTATAATTCAGGTGAAAAATGAATAATCAGCACAACCAGCACCAGCATCAAACCTGGATACTGTATTATTACCAAACCATCTTTCCTTGAACAATTTACAACACCCAATAAAAATGTCTCAAACTTATTTCCTTGCCACTACCCCTCACTATGCTGCTTGCAACCCTTGGGTCCGTAGTGTTGAGCGCTGCGCCTTACTGTTCTCTTGCACAAGTAACAGTAGTGCATTTGGCATGCCCAGCAGAATATGTGGTTGTTGTTGCCTACCTGCTTAAATGCACCACAATTGAAACAATCAATCCATGTATCTATATAACAAATCCAAAAATTCGGGTTTAACTATCGAACAAACTCGACTACAATACATATGGATAACCTTAACTAGACGGATAATGTAAAGGAAATCCCGGACATTACTAGTCCAAAGCTAAAAGTATCTTTTTTGTGGCATCTAATCTTACCTAGTTTTCACATTAGAAGATTAAAGGAAAGCATAGGAGGAGAAAATTTCCATCAAATTCGATATATTCTCACCTTTGCGTTGAACTGACGACAATTAGGGCACGGCAGCCCATGGTCAGCGAATAGTTGAGCCTGAACTTGACCTAACACCTGCCGTGCATTCATCCTTTCCTCCCAGTCCCGTATCATTTCTTGTGGAAACAGTTCACATGCCCCATCCCTACAACACGCAAAGAGGCAAAAGCTCATTAGCTAAATACTGACCGATCAATTATTCAAAAGTTGAACCAAGCAAATGACAAGACTTGATCTGTAAACATTCTAAGTTGTGTACCTGAAATGATCATATCCATCAATAGCACTGTTGCAGCGGTAACAGAAATACTGCCCACAGTTCTCACATACCATCTTGTTACATCCCTCAGTTCTTGAGATTGCCATCTTACAAGACGGACATTGCTTGGCGTCACGCATTATTTCCTTCATGCTAAGAAGTTCATTGATCATCTCACGCTCCTTGTGCTTTTGCTCTTGATTCAATTGGGATGAACTTTGGCGCTCCTGTTATCAATATTAATTCCATAAACGATGGAGAAAAGTCTCTACAGGATACAAAGCAGATGACCACATGACAAGGAAAATGATAAAATGTACACTGCAATATCTGAAAGCAGTGAAGGAAAATGGGCACAGCCCAGAAGAAGACTTTGACAAACATTGATCCAACTTTATCCATGAAATCCAAGCTAGAGCAATAAACAATAAAAGTAACCTTTAACGGCTCTAGCCAGTAACCACTCATGACCTCATTATTTTGAAATAGTGTTTTCTACAGCTATTTCCACTTTCTACAATTTACCAGGAAAATATGAGAGCAATGGCTGAAGAAAAAATTGTTTAAAAAAATGATAAGCATGAAAACATCACTGAAGAAAAGACATAGCTAATACCTGGAGGACACGAAGCTTTATTTCTGGTGTCAAACATGCTATGCCAACATGACGGCGCTCCCTACAAAGTGTACAAAAGCTAAAGAAGCACTTGGAGCATTGTGCATGTTGCTCTTCATCCTCTATACAAGGTGTTTCACATCTTGGGCAATATGCAACATCTGACATTGAATCAAGGGTTTTCTGTAGCATAAGGGATTCCCACCTTTCATACCCTTCATCACCAAGTAGCCGTTTCAACAAACCAGGAGGGACCATACCTCCACATTTAGCTTCGGGACATTGCAGCTTGGTTATGGTAGCTTCAGAGAGATGCATATTGGAATATGTCTCCATGCATTTCCAGCAGAAGAAATGCTGGCATGGCAGCCTGATAAGTTCAATACCTGATTAAAAAACCACGAAGGGAAAGATTCAACAAACGACCAAAAATGTCAGAATAGCATGTACAGTATTATCTTCAGATTAAAAGTCAAAATCATAATTTATTCTAATCTTTTACTAAATATGCATGGAACATATGCTTAATAGCTATCCATATTCAAATCCACACACACACCCAAAAAGAAGTCACTAGTTCCTAGATCCATAAAATATCATCCTAAACCCCTTAAGCAAAATTATGTAGACTAATCTTAATAACATTTGATTCTTAATCAAACCCAAAGAACCCCTGGGTGATACAAATAGATGCTTTTGTAGCAGGGTTAATGCAAGTTCTACAACTTATTATAATTGGAAAATCATTAAATGAAATTTATATTACCGATACTCAGGATCCCACCATGTTAATCAACCTTAGCATAACAAATAAAACCATAAAAATATATACATCACACTTAAGAGAACACAACACAATAAAGCCTTAGCTTCTTTTCAAGTCACTTCCATCATTCCTTATTATCTTCTGCTTATCCGGTAAAGCAAAAAGGAGGAGCCCTAAAATGTTCACTGTAGAAAATGCTCACAATAGCGAAACGTTTACAATTGATACTGAATTACCTGCATGCTCACTAAGACAGATAGGACATTCATGCAAGTTTTTGAGGAAGTTCTCATGGAATTTCTTATCATTGTAACTCCTAATAAATGGAACATCAACATCTGGAGAGACACTTCCTGAAACGGCACGCCTATCCCTGGTGCTCTCAATTGCATAAGGACCAAGCATTATTTCTTTATCGAACCCAAGATGTGACAGAGAGAAGTTCTGCAGCCATTCTGCCCATTGGTATATAATTTCCTGCCCTTCTTGCCCCTTCCATATTGAGTCAAGCTGACTGCAAAGCTCGGAAATTCTAGCAGGACGCAACCACTTAACAGAGAGTGTAAAATAAGGAGGAAGATGGCTGGGGTATGATCTAGGCAGTAAACAAGTCAAGACAATCGGTGGAAGATGCTGGACTTTGAAAGAGTATGAAAAGTCATCTGAAGTCTCGCTTTTTACACCAACATTAGAGGTATTTAGTTTTGTCGTTATGGTAGTCTCACCACCACCTTCAAGATGAATATGAACCTGTAAAATAACACACAAGGGTATAGCTTACTCACTTGGTTGTAGCTAGTAGCTAAAAACAATGACTTATAGAGAAAAAAACCTAACCTTCAAGGATCGTAAGCCCATCTGATCGTCGAGGATGAAGACATTTTCTCCATAAATAGACTGTATCACAAGTACCTACCAAAAACAAGAAAAAGTATCAGACATGGAAATTGAATATAGATTAAAGAAAAAAATAAACCTTTTCTGATGTTCAGAAAGTTCTGAGGAAAAAAAATCTTTTTAACATCATCACGTTCCTTTGACACAGAATTCATTTTTTTATTGGGACAACAAGAACACACAACACTGTTTTCAAGCATACGTTTTTCAAGAAGCTAAGCCAATCACAGAATTATCCTTATTCGTTGACCAAAAATTATAATGCCTTAGAATACAATGATAATAGAATAAAACAAAAGACAACATAATCGATAAAATGGCATGGGAAAAACATAATAGGTAAAAAAAGACCTAACAATCAAAATTCGAGGAATTACCTCGTCCTCCTGCAACTGCTCATTGATTCTCAGCTGTTCCTCAGGCAACTCAGGTTCTTCCCCCCTTAACCGCAGCTCCTCCAACATACTCACTACATAATCCGCACCGCTATGCGATTCATCTCCGTCAATGTTCTCCCCATCCTCTTCAATCTTTGACTCCAAAGCTTCTCTTTCTTTATTTTCATCTTGGTCTACATTCACTTCTTCGACTGCACGCAAACTCGCTTTATTATCCTCGGAACTAACCTCAGGTGAAGAAGCGAGCTCGGATTTTTTAACGAACTCTGTTTTTACCACGGGGCCACGACGGTATTTCCAGCTTCGATTTCGATTATCTTTATGGGGTTTTTGGATCGAATCAGGGAACTGTTGTTCATTAGAAGTAGATGAAGTCGAAAGAGAATTAAGGGTCGATTGATCGTGTGGCGGTTGTTGGGGATCGTGTGGCGGTTGTTGAGGAGTATGAAGAAGAGGTTTGACGGACCAGGTATCTTCGTTTCCGTGGTTGTGGTAGCCTTGCCTTGATGATCCTCTTCTTGTTCTTCTCATGTCGGGGGCTTAAGTTGCCGCGGGGCGTCGTGTGGCGGTGTTTTCTGGAGAGGATCTTTTGAACTTGATGTAATATTTCGGGTCAAATTCCATTGCTGTTTTTGGAGCTTTTGAATTTAGACTAGTTTATGGCCCAAAAAGGAAATGACCGGTTTGATGGGTCGTAAGATCGAGTCTCACGGAGGGTATTTCATAATTTAGAGGTCTCCTACGAAAGTTGCTCTCAACTTGACGTTGAGACAGCCTACTATCCTACCTCCCTTACCCAATTACATATGGGAATAAGGGTCAGCTAATTTTTTATTATGGCCCAAAACAAAAATGTTCTTTTTTCAAAGCCCAAAATAAAAATTCACTTACAAAAAAATAACAAAAAAACATTTTATTTTGAGCATAATAGTGGTGGGTGTCGAATCCAACAAATAATAATACTTGCTTTTAGAAATATAAATTGTAGTAGCGATAAGCAAGGTCGAATCCACAAGGATTAGGTAGACTTATTCTAATAAAAATTAAAGCGAATAAAATGGGTTTTGAAATTGAGAAAAAAATCAAAAATAAAAAGCAATTATAATAAACTAAGAATTTAGAGAGATTAATATTAAGAAAATATCCAACTAAAGGTATAATTTCAGAATTGGTTCAGAGAATTGATTATAGATGCAATGATAAAATTTCTACCTTTCACCAAATTGGTTATAGTTATTGACAATCTCTAACAACTTGTCTCTCCTTAGTTTCTTGATAATCAAGAGAATCTCTTTGATTATTTCCCTTGTTAATGAACAACCCAGACAAGCGCTTAAGATTTAATCTACCAACAGCATTAACCACTAGAGAGACCACCAATTTTAGCCAATAAATACACAAGCTTGATTCATTTAGAGTAGATTATATATCTTCATAACATAATCAAAAATCAACTATGTTACTTTACCACTAATATTAGAACGTTTAAACAATTACGGATTTAAAGTTCTAAATGACAATATATCAACCTGATAATTGAACAACAGGCCCTTTGCACAATCAATCAAGACAATAATTCTTAATAAAAACAGAAGATATATAAATAGCGAAGAAATAAAATAACAATAAAAATTATTTAGATCTCACAATCCTTGAAGAACCAAAGCTTAAATTATCATTCAGTTTAAACAAAAGTATTTAGCTACTCATAATTAAAAGAAAACCAAAAGAAAATAAAGATGAAGTCTGAAAATAATCTTAGAGAAAAACTTAATGAAAACTTAATGGCCCCTATGAAATCCCTAGCCCTCTTTTATAAGGACTTCCCTATTCTAGATAATGAAGTTTATTAAAAGTAAATCCCACAAAAATAGAGTTTTAAATACCCTCATCTTTTTCTAAAGATAAGAATAATTCAAAAGATAAGAATAATTCAAAAGAGTTTTTTAGCCGTCATTAAACTCATTTTTCCTTGTAAATATGTAACCCTAATTTAGGGTTGTACATACTGGTAAGGTGCGTCCACGCCTTAACTGAAAACTTCTTCTGCGATAGCTCAGGATGAATAAGTCGTGCCCACACCTTATGCGAAAACCTCTTCTGGTCTTGCTAACTTCTTGAATTCCGATTTTTCCTCCTTAATTTGGGGATTTCGTGAAGATAATGCTATTTATTGGATTTTGAACTTGTTTAATCCAAATCTTCAACCTAATCCACAAAATACGAAATATAATCAAAATCCATGATTTAAGCAATTTTAGTTATTCAAATATGAGGAAAATATCATAGAATCTATGACTAATATGCATCTTATCAAATTCTCCCACACTTAAACCAATGTTTGTCCTCAAGCATACAATAGTTCAAATTCATAATTCTTCTCGACATCAATCATTCTTTTTCCTTTGTTCATCGTTCCACAATCAAAATTGTCATGCCTTAAAGACTCAAATCTAGACACAAGTAAGGAATGAACAATTCGTAGAAGAAATTCTCATAAACAACGCACATGAATAATCACTCCATCAATCTTTTCGAAATCAAAATGCAGTGGGATCTAATACCCTCACATTGGATTCACTCAATACGCTCGAAGTATTTAGGGTGTCAATAAACTCTCAAGCCAAAACATAGAAAGATTTTTACCATAAGCTTGCTAACCTATCACATCCCCACCACTAATCAATGAATTGAATGCATAAAAACATCAAGGTCTTAAATAGGGTGTAATGGGGCTTAGGTGAGGTTTGGTAGGAAATGAATTTAAGTTGTTTTATCGAAGGAGTCATACAAACTTATCCACATGGAACTCAATCCCAAATGTTCTCTTCAAGCCACATAACTTTTTTTCATTGCACAATCTCTCTTTCTTCTTTTCCTTTGCACAATTTTGCTTTTTTTTCCAATAAAATAGATTGCAACTCGAGTCACTATATTCCAACATCTTCTGATCTTCTCAAGATAATTTGAATTCTCATGTGAAGAAGCTCATACAATCCTCCAATTTAAGGTTCAAAAGAGGGAAATTAACAAAAAGGATTTAATAATTGCTTGTATCATGGTTAATTTCAAACAAAAAGGCTCAAAATTGGCTTTCTAATAATGATAATCAGGGTAGGCTCTTTACGAAAGCTAAAAGTGGTTTCACCTAAATGCCCTTATCACTCAATCAAGAAATGGAGCATGCTAAAAATGAGTGCTCATTGGCCCAAAAACTCGCAAAAAGGGTAAACATGTATCAAATCCCACACATTTTTCATTTAATCAGTCATCAAGAGTAATCAACCAGTGTGTAGCAAATAAGAATTCAACTACTCAAGCTAATCCCCTATTAGGCTTCAACTTAATTCGATAATTCAAAATAATCCAAATCATGTAAGGACAAACATCGAAAGGTCTGGAATTTCGAAGAGAAAAAACACAAATAAGAACTAAAGCATACTTGTTTTTTTCTCAAAAATTGAAGCAAAACTATGTTCAAAGCAAAACCATGTATGAAATACTCTCCCCCACACTTAATCCATACATTGTCCTCAATGTATCAAAAGTATATGCTCAAAAACCATAAAAGAATAAGAGCAGAAAACTCCCCTGAAAATATTGAGCATCAACCACGATATTTGTCACGAGCTGGGGGTGAAGGTGTTGTTCGTCGGCTGGGTTGGTTCTCGGATTGAGTGGAGACGTGGGTCGAGTGGAGCGGGGAGGATGGCTGGTGGCGCGCATTCTTCTGAAGGAGCAGAGAAAATAAAGAAAAGATAAGGCACATTTTAAAAAGTTTCTTTGAATCTTTCTTCATAAACCAGAAGTGGTGTTGAGTTCAGACGTGGACACGTCTTATATAAAAACATCTTCTGGATGGTGAGAGACTTTAGGATTAATTCTACTTTTGTAAAACGTGCCCACGGGTTACAAAAAATCATCTTTAGACCTAAAGAAGAAAACAAGATTAATTGTATTCCGAAAAATCAAAAATAAAAATAAAAATAAAAAGAACGAAAATAGAAATTGAAAAGGAAAAAATTGGGTTGATTCATAAGAGCGCCTTTCTTTAACGTCTTTGGCTAAATGTTATAACTTCTCAATCATCCTAAGTTTGATACTCCAAAATGATTTGACCAACATTATGCGCCTGAAAACCTTAATAAAAAGGTTTTAAATGATTATCATTGACCTTAAATATTTGACATGTATCCAAACTTTTTATTTCAACAATAGAGAAATTTTTCTTGGAAATCATATGATCATGGAAGGTTTTGGTCTTTCCCTTGTAAATTCTCGAGCTTTCATAAGCGTCATTACGAATTTCCTCTAGCTCTTGCAGTTGTAATTTCCTTTGTACATCCTACTCATCCAACTTTGGTGCCTGCACAAGATAAGGAAGAAGCTTGGTGTGAGAAAGATGTAACTCAATATAAGATACATCATACCTCATGGGTTTGAGTGGTTCTAGTTATTGGATTGTATCTTGCAAATCAAGATCCAACACAGACTTTTTCATAATTCCCTACAATCCTTCAGAGGTGAAATTCATGTTGAGTGTATCTTTCAACTTGTCATCATCATTTTGATCAAAAGTTTCCTGTACTAGAAGGTCAATAACATCCATGACAAAAACAGAGGACACATCACTGGGATATCTCATGGCATCATGAATATTGAATTGAATAATTTCACCATCAAATTTCATGGTAGGTGTACCATCATTTACATCAAATTTTATCCTAGCTATTTTTAAAAATGGTCTTCCTAACAAAATTGATGTTGATTTAGAATAATCATCTTCTTGCATATCAAGCACATAAAAATCTGCAGGAAAAACCAATTCATTAACTTGCACCAAAACATCCTCTAAAACTCCCTCAGGATATACATTAGATATATTAGTAAGTTGAATAATCACTTCTATTTCTTTCAAAAACCCAGCATTTAGAGATGAGTAAATAGAAAGAGGCATGATATTTATTGAGGCTCCTAGATCTAACATTGCTCTCTCAATCTTAACATTATCGAGTTTACAAGGGATATTAAACATACATGGATCTTTGCACTTGGGGGGTAGTTTTTTCTGGAGGACAGCTGAAACATTCTCCCCCATACTTACCTTTTCATTACCCTTGAGCTTTCTCTTGTTGGTACACCATTCTTTAATAACTTTAGCATATTGAGGTACTTGTTTAATTACATCAAGTAAAGGAATATTTACCTCGATCTTGCGAAATGTCTCAAGAATTTCTTTCTCTTCTGCTTCTTTCTTAGACTTGGGGAAATTTAGCGGGAAAATGAGGTTTTATGACAAATTCCTTCGGTTTTTCTCTTTTAAGTCCTTTAGGTTGGTATTTCTGAGTCTGGGGAGCAACAACTTCCTTTTCATTTTCTTCCACTAAGGTTCTCCCATATGCCAATGAACTAGGTTCCTTCAACTCCTTCTCACTTCTCAATGTGATTGTACTAACATTTTGCTTTGGATTAACAATGATTTGTGAAGGTAACTTACCTTGGGATTCTAACCAAGTCACGGAGGATGTCAATTGACTCATTTGATTATCTAAATTTTGTATGCTTGTTC